GGGCTGAGGGACAGATATTTCCAGTACATTTTCTTTGATTTCACTTACCAACTTCACCAGACACTGAGGATACGGCACCGAACAGACGGCCTTTAAATGTTGTCCCGTCCTCCAATACTAAAGATGCCATTTTCAGCAACATGACTTAGTACTTCTAAACGCAAACAGAATATCTAGCGCTTAAAAGTATGTGAACCGAACTGGTTGCGTTGCACGTGTTTTCCCTTTTCGCCGAAGTTCCCACGTGAAAACCACGCTGCTCAAGGTGATGTTCACCCGAATGCGGATTAAATATAAGCGATCTCAGATATCGCTATCTAGGCCAAATATGCAGTCCTGGTGTAGAAGAAGCTCACTGGCCGATTGCGATGTTTTAAGTGGGTTTAAGCCAGACGAGCTCTGGTTAGTCGAGAGAAATGCACGCTCTGCTCCAGCCACAGCAGTGTGGAGCCGTGGGTGTGAACTTCCATCTGGTTTTATATTAGCGTGGAAAATCACTGCGCGTCACCACGTCAGAGAGGAGGGGGAAGAGGCCTGCTCTAGGCTTCATTCACAAAAATTACAAAAATGCTTTATTTTTCATTTTCTTGACATTTTTGTTTAAAAAAAAATGAATAATAAATTACAAAAAGAATATGTATCTAGTGTGTTTTAACCTGTGTGTAAGTCTCACAACATAGGATACCCCAAAACAGAAAGAAGAAATTATATTGTATATTTATAACCACACTAGTGAAAATCAGAAAGAGTTATAAAGATTTAATGCCACCTCCAGATCCACTGGTATTCTCAGTTAAATGAATTTCACCCAAAGGTGAAAATGTACTCACCTTCAGGCCGTCCAAGATGTAGAAGAGTTTGTTTCTTCATCTGAACAGATTTGAAATTTAGTATTATATCATTTGCTCACTAATGGATCCTCTGCAGTGAATGGGTGCTGTCATAATGAGAGTCCAAACAGCTGATAAAAACATCACAATAATCCACACAACTCCAGTCCTTTGACGTGACGTGACATGACATGACATGTGGCCAAATTAGTGCTCTGCATTTACCCATCCAAAGTGCATACACACA